CGGGGGGCCCCGGCGCGGGCGGCGGGGTGGGGGCTTCCCAGCGGCGGCGGCTCAGGCATCCGGCTTCCTCCACCCTGCCTCGCCTGCGGCCCTCGCAGGCCGAGGCGTCGTGTGCGGTCCAGGGGGAGCTGAACTGCTCTAACAGCATGGGCGCCCTGGAGATGCACCAGCGCTTGCAACAGCTGAAGAGACGCATCCACCGCGTGCACCTCTACTCCCAGGGTGAGCCCACCGCCTGCTGCGCCGGCCCACCCACTCACACCTCCCCGCGGGGCCACAGCGGGGCCACAGCGGGCTTTCCAAACCGGCTCGGTCAGTCAGGACCCCTGGAGGCCCGCACACTGGGTGGGAAGCAAATTCGAGTTCACATGGGGACAGGTGAGGGTGGAGCTGGAAGGTGGCCGCGTTCACTGCCACATCGGGAACGCAACTGAGGAAGAGGCCACTCTGTTGACACCCCCTATGTGGTGGGGTGACCTCGCTTTCCCCCGGATGCCCTGGACTGAAGAACTGTGTTTTCCTTTGGGGAACCCACTCAGTTTGTGTCCCTTGTCGGGGTCCCCTGGTGTATTTGCTTGTTCCCTTCTGCCTGTGTGTCTTGGACGGTTGCTCTGAAGCTGTGATGAGGTTTGGATCTGGTCCTTGGGTGTGTCCATGTTCAGGGGTGTACCATGGCGGTGAACGCCTTTGTTGAGCATCAGAGGCCCTGGCTCACCTGGGCGGGGGTGGGGGTAGTCTCACGGCACTCTTTCATCCAACAGCTGACCCCCACAGCATGTGTAGCTCTCATGACAGATTTCCAAGGTATTCAGTTCAGTCGCTCAGTCATGTCCGACTCTTTGTGACCCCATGAACCGCAGCACGCCAGGCCTCCCTGTCCATCACCAACTCCCGGAGTCCACCCAAACCCATGTCCATCGAGTCGGTGATGCCATTCTCACCATCTCATCCTCTGTCATCCCCTTCTCCTCCTGCCCTCAATCTTTCCCAGCATCAGGGTCTTTTCAAATGAGTCAGCTCTT